GCGCCTGTAATCCAAGCTGCTGGGAGGCTAAGGCTGGCGGACCGCTTGAGCTCAGGGGTTCTGGGCTGCAGTGAACTATGCCGATCGGGTGTCCGCACTAAGTTCGGTATCGATATGGTGCTCCTGGGGGAGCTCGGGACCACCAGGTCGTCTAAGGAGGGGTGCACCGGCCCAGGTCGGAGACGGAGCAGGTCAAAGCCCCCGTGCCGATCAGTAGTGGGTTCGCGCCTGTGAATAGACACTGCAGTGCAGCCTGAGTAATATAGCGGGACTCAGTCTTTTGTGTTTTTCATCACTTTCTCATTTTGAATTGGATTAAATTAATGTATTAGCTTGCAAATGTACTTTTTTGATTTAACTTTTAATGTTATTTGGTACATTAGTCAACGTTGTCTATCTCCAAAATTAAAAATATGCTGATTTATGCGTTTTATTTGCAATATTGCACAAAATTTGGTTCATTTTAATGCCATTTTAGTGGCCAGAAAATAAGTGATGTACTGCCCCTCTGTGTACGAAATTGAAATTACACCTGAATTTTGTGCAGCATGAAGCACTGAACCAGTAGGAGTCGCTGCTAGCATCATTTTTTTTTTATTCAGTTCATGAGAGGGATTTTTCTCCACGATTATAATCTACATTTAGTTGTCTTTTTTTAGATATCACTTTATGATTAAGCTACTTTATCACGAGTCTGCAATCAACATGGTTCACTGTAAGATAAATGTTTCACAGATTTAAACTTTTCCTGTTCAAACTGTCTCTAAAACGTTTTTACTACGCTTCTATCATGTTTTTTCCCCTTCTTGGAACTTGGTTACCAAGAAGGCAAGTGTCAGTCAAGACTGGAAAATATGCTTGTGATATAATGAGGCATATAATACGTGATGTGTGCAGAAAACAAAGAAAGTGAAGGTAATAACATGCAAAAAGTGTGATAATATTATGTGTGTATACTAGGTCTGAAATTACGTTAAAAAATTTTTTTTCTTTTCATCACTCAGTGCTATAAAACACAGTAAATAGCCTAATTTGACATGTGGTGGAAATAACAGGGTGGTGAAAATGTTTGACTTTCATGTTTATGTAATTTAATAAACTAGTCACACTGTGGAAAATAACAAATTTAATAAACTAGTTACAGTGTGGGAAATGTTTTAAGAGAGTTTATTTCTTAAAAGTCCACAGGGCCAGAAGTGGCTGTAATGTACTCTATAATGTAATTATTTAGTGATGTTGTCCTTGGGTCTGACATATATGTAATAAAATGTTTTCCAGCCATTACAGACATGACCGAAGTTATGTGTGCATAAAAATGTCAATGCTCCCCAACCACCTGAGAACTTACTAATTTGCCTGAACATCTTTCATTGTAGTGAACCTATAAGATAAGAACTGCATTGACAACAGTTCCAGAACGGAGGATCAGGGCCGCAGGTTAATCACTAGCTTAGATAGATTACAATCAATTACAGTAGCACAGAGTTGTTGTGCTCCACAAACTCATTTTGTTCTGTACTGTTCTGTTCCTATTTGTACTGTAAATCAAAGTTAACGATTATCTTACACTCTTTCCCCCAATCAATAGTGTACCTATTTGCGCCACTCAGTACGGATTGCCATTAAGAAGGCAGGAGAAAAACAAACACACTCACGCCCTTTCAATTACATTAATCAGATGACAGTGAGGTAAGTGATACAGCGTGGCGTATTGGCATTTCCATAACTGAACACATAAGAGCGCCTGTATGATTAATAGACTGTTTCAGCAGAAGGGCTTGGGTTCTCCATGAACTCATGCCATGTGATTTCCAAGACATTCCTACTTTGAAATGAATATATACCTCTTCCATCTAGTCATTGCTGTCTGTCAGCACGCCCTCAGACAATGGTGCAGCCCCACACTCCTGCAGGACTATAATTAGCCATCTCCTCACTGTAAAGGCATGTGTGTTACTCGTGCGTTGACATTTTGTCATAAAGCAGCGTAACATTTTCTGCTTACATTCCATGATGAGAGTCGTTCTGCTCTTATAGGCTATATTTTGACATATTATTTATATTTTCTTTACCAGGCACTTATTACGTGTAATTGAATCAAATAAATTAAGTTAGCACTCTATGAAGCATGAAGTATCTTTTTTCCTGCCTGTTGTCTTCAATATATCACTTTCCTTTCCACTGCATATGTCTTGTGCTTGTACGTGTGTCTCTTCTGTCTCTTCTCCTCTGTAATATTTCTCTTTTTCCCTTTTTCCCTTTCTCCTTGACACCTGCCTCTCAAGTTGCACTTTCTATAAATAGCACAGTCTCCCCCAAATTAAAGTTCAAAAGAGCATTTATTGGTGTGTCAAGCTTAATAGAGCGTCACTGAACTCTACACTTCAAGCTTTCGCACCAGGGGCATGACTAAACTCTGATCTCCGCAGTTTTGCCTTAAAGGAGATCTGTACACCATACACAGGGCAT